TCCCCTGCCTTCACCCTAAGTCAGCTGGGATAGGCTCCAGCCCCCCCGCGACCCTAATGAGGATTAAGCGGTGTATAGATAATGGATGGATGGATAAAGCTAAGAAAAGTTTTTACCTCATTATTTATGAGGCACATGACTGACATCACAAGCCATTAGTTTCTGTTGTCATCATCAGCTACCTAATAGTTGCCCGATTTTTTTTTTCATTAAAGCTTCACAACATTCAAACACAGTGTTAGACATTGTTAGCAAATGCTGGTCCTCTACCAGTTCCCACTGGTTTCTCTTTGTTCTTGTTTCTTCGCAGCCTTTTGATTAAAATTTCAAATATTATAATGCTGTTGCTCCTCATGTGTAGCCTGGAGCGAAGGCAGTGTTTCCTATTTTCGTAAAATCTACACGTTCATTCACTGTGCGTGCCAAGTTAAACATTGTTCTTTAGTATTAATGTAATAGGATAAAGCTTCATATTCAGGTAAAACCCCCAGAATGCTCATCATGATGTTGAAAAAAAAGACATGCATAAGTAATGTTGGAAGGTTAAAAATGGTTGGAGTTCTGCTTTCATGTTTAAAAAATGAAGTTCCCCTATTCCCCACGCACTACTTCTCCTCGTTTCTTGGTTCTGCAGCGTTTGTCTCTCGCTGCACTTAATACGTCCGCTGAATGTTATCAGAGGCAGCCAGTGTCTCTCTGTTAAATGAGTCTGAATATCAACAGAATAACAGTGTTGACTCAGCATCATGTTGAAAGAACAATGCTCTGTATGTTTAAACCGTGGCCCAAATTGAATTCACGGCACAGGTTGGTTAGAGGGTATGCATTTATTTTCAGTACGCCTGCTACTTTGAAGTCGTGCCTGCAATAAGGGCACACGTGTATATATTTGATTATGGATTAATATATTAGAAATATATACAATAGCAGCCTTAGATGGATTTATAATATTATAGTGGGACTTGTTGCCATTTATATTGAAAAAAATGTTTTTCATCAGTCTCTCATGGGGGGAGATGCTAATTTGACATGTATTCCTTTTTTTTTTTATTACATATCATCATACATTTACAGTATTTTATTTGTTTTTGCTAATATTTTGGGATATACCTGTAGCCTTACATTATTTAGCTTTCGTTTTACAGCAGTCAGTCACTGTTCTATACGTAATAGTTTTGTTTTTTTTAAAAGTTTTTTTAAGTTAAAGTGAATGACCTTGTAGAGGAAACTATTTATGGCAAAGTTCCAGCAAAATCAAAGAATTCTTTCATTTCTGCTTTATATCTGATTTGACTGAAGTATTTTATGCGAAATCAGTCAGAGGTAAATAATAACTATATACTGTAATTGTTTATTTTTAATGTGTTTAAACATATTTTTCTGTCAGAGTTTCAGCTGTTTTTCTACGGAATTTGAATTTTACTGTATCCTACTAGTTATATATACACTTTTTTCACTTTTTAAACATTATTTTATTTTATTATTTATTAAGAGTTTTTGATTGTCACAATATTCTGCTCTTTGTTTTTTTTTAAAACATATCTATTCTGTCACCCTGGCTTTCAAATTTCACTACTTTGTTTTAAAAATATATATATATATTCTTGTGTCAGAGGTCAGCAGAATGCACAGAGGCACTAAAGACTGACGGATTGTTGTAAAATTATTTGCAACTTAACTGGTCACTCCGTGCGGTTCAGATCTAATACCAATTATGACTCGAGACAGACACTAACTGATGGATGCTTTTGACTTAGTATCATGAAAGAAGGAGGCATGCGTCAGACCTATGAGGTGCATGATTGTTATTACTCATGCAGCATAAATTTGAATGACCACTGAACTTTTTCTTATTAATGTCCTTTTATTTTGATTCTCTGTTAAAGATTTAAGTTCATTTAACACTATTTCTAGTAATGTGTCTGACTGAGAAACACAAACTACCACCTAAGAGGGTTAGGTGGTAGTTCATGTCATACTGACATCAAGACTGACCTCAAAGAGATTTATTGTTTAATGATATAGCAACAAGAATACAGATTGCCTTATTTAATAAAGTAGCAGCGCTGACACACAGTGTTTTATTTCACACAGGAAGTCGTGGAGCTGGTTAAGTTGGTAAAGAACCTGTTGATTGGTCCTTTCAGAGACTGGGACATTCAACCAACCGTCCAGGGTGAACTTCTTCGCTCTGCGTATATGCAGAAATGGACTCATATGTATTTATAAAACTGCTAGTGCTGAAAGTCTAACTTCTGACTTCAGCAGCTCTAAGGAACAGCCTCTCTGCTGGATGAGAGCGCCCACCGAAGCTCAGCAAGCAAAGCTGAAACCATCAGCACAAATACATGACTTGTGATTAGGACCTTCAGTTAGGCTTATCCACATGGGACACACTCGAGTCATCGTCAGTGAACAGTCCTCCAACAAGAAATCCCAAACGATCCCCAAAGATCACTGTTTTAAACAGATGTTGTGTTTGTGATGGTTATCACATAATACATTGATTGATCCTGAGTCTGGCTATCGCAACCAACGTCTGTGTCATTCTTTTTTTTTTCCAAGTACTGTGTTGTTGCACAGATTATGATTTTTTTTGTCTTTTCAGATGTTTAAATGTATCTTTAACATCACGTCTCACCGTCTTTTGTCACTTGATTGTTCTATTTCCAGCCTATTGATCAAATAGAAATGCACTGTAACTCAAACTTTGTCATTGGTATGAATTATTTTATGCTTAACTGTACATGTATGTTTGTCATTAACTCAGCTATTGCAGGAAATATTTATTTTGACCACTTGCCCCACAGTTAGACTTGTGTTACACGTCTTCTTTTCTCTGTCTTCCCTCAGGGTCACTGGTCAACCAGTCAGCTGACGTGTTCTCCAACGCCTCGTGCAACGTGTCCACCAATGATTCAACATCCTGCTCTGCTGTTGACAATGGAGAGGGGGCAGGAAGTCCGTATAAAGCTCTGGAGATGTTTTTTATCGCCTTGGTTACAGGATCGCTGAGCTTTGTGACTGTTACGGGGAACATTTTAGTCATGCTGTCCATCAAAGTAAACCGCCACCTACAGACTGTCAATAACTATTTCTTATTTTCGTTAGCGTGTGCTGACCTGATCATTGGTGTTTTCAGCATGAATTTGTACACCGTCTATATAATCGTTGGTTACTGGCCACTCGGGCCCGTGGTCTGTGACTTGTGGCTAGCTTTGGATTACGTCGTCTCAAATGCCTCGGTGATGAATTTACTGATCATCAGCTTTGATCGCTACTTCTGCGTGACCAAACCTCTCACGTATCCGACCAGAAGGACAACGAAGATGGCGGGGTTAATGATCGCAGCAGCGTGGATCCTGTCCTTCATCCTGTGGGCTCCTGCCATCTTGTTCTGGCAGTTCATCGTTGGGCAGCGAACAGTGCCCCCTGGGGAGTGTTATATTCAGGTACATCATTTTTTATTTTTTAATTATTGAGGCGGATACAGCAGGAAATGAGAAAATGCAATCTAAGCAAATCAACTGTCTCCCAAATAAAGGAGAAAGATATTTTTGAAAGATAAGAAAGTTGTTAATGCTACCTTAAGGCCACATTACTGGATTTAGTTGTTTTTAACCCTGTATTGGCTGGCTCAGATATCAAATCCATAGACTGTATAAGACGGATGTCTCTTTGGGTCAGTGTGGCCTTAAACCTGCCAGCAGGGGGCGACTCCTGTGGTTGCAAACAAAACTGTACAAGTCTATTTGGAAAAAGATTCTATTTCTAACTTGATTTGTTACCTCACAGAAACACCCAGAAACTGTGTGGAGATCAGAGTTAAACAACAAAACTAAAAATCTTAACAAGTGTGGCTATTTAAAATCTAAAGGTACTAAAGATTATAGATTTTCTTTCTTTCTTTCTTCCTTCCTCTCTGCAGTTCCTCTCCAACCCCGCAGTGACATTCGGGACGGCTATAGCAGCGTTCTATCTGCCCGTCATCATCATGACGGTCCTGTACATCCACATCTCGCTGGCCTCCAGGAGCAGAGTCTCCAAACACAAACCTGAGAAGAAAGAGAAGAAGGGAATAAAGTAAGAGCAAAGACATCAAATAAATGACACAAAAGAAGAAAAAAATGAGGTTTTTGATTGAAATTGCTATTGAATGATGCCATGTTGCTCTTGACCAGATGCCTCAGAAACACTTTGGAAACAATATTGTGCTGAAATTTCTTTTTTGTCAATCCAGATTCTTTCTTTCTCCAAAATATGTGTACATATAATAGTATAGTAGTATGTTAAGTTATTTGGTGAACCATCAGTTTCTTAGTAAATGGTTAGAATCCACAGCTCACCTTGAATATTTTCCTACATTTTGAAAGTCTTTTGTGTTGGATTTGTTCTGTCAGCTCAAACTTTATTCCATTTACAACATCTACTCAGAAAAGTTACTAAGTGGCTTATTGGATTTGCCTCCCGTTACGCAGGCTATTAACATCAATTAATCATATACACAATTTGCTACAAAAGTACAATAACATGTCCACAATTAATGATTTATATCCATTTGTGGAATAATGTCCACATGCACACATTTAATCCACCGACAATTTAAGTGAATGACATTGATTATCTTTGTTACAAAGGCATCTGTCCAGTAGTGGGAGTATATTAAGCAGCAACTGTCAGTTCCTGAAGTTGATGATCTGGAAGCAGGAAAAATGAGCAGTGAGAGGATCTTTGGATGTGATGGCGAAACGGGCCAAAGCATCTCCAAATCAGCCAATCATCAATAGAACTGTACTAGTGTTTTAGTTTCAAAGTGTCTCGTAGAAGACGACTGTTTTCTTAATCCTGCTCCTGAAGGATTCTAGCCATTACTGCTCTCTCCTGCAGTGTGTTTGTTCCACTAACGCCTACATCCACAAACATTTTGTGTCGTCTCCCGAGCTGCACTGACAACACCGTGTAGTTTGAATGCTGGTAATAACGTGACACGATTACAGTTACATTCTTTGGAATTTAGTATTCTAGGACGGCACGTACACATTTCATACACTTCTCGAAGGTATCCTGTTTAATATGTGCAGGAAGAAGTGCTTTAAATTTGGAGGAGAGCTTACTTTGACCCAGGAGAACAGAGCAGGTGTTGCTTCAACCCAGAGGAGGCAGATCTGTGTCTGTTGTCTATCAATGCTGTGCACAACTGCACCTCTGCATGGCGGCGTTATTCCCTGATGGCCTCTTTCATCCTGCCACACTGCAAACATTGTTCAGAAATGGTTTTAGGAACATAACAAAGAGTTCATGGTGTCGACTTGGCCTCCAGATTTATATCCATTTGAGCATTTGTAGAATGTGCTGCCAAAACCAGCCCTACTTCGAAAGGATGTTCTGGCAGCGTTGTGGTGCCTGAAACACAGGAAACCTTCAGCGGTCGGTTAAGCTGTGCTTTAATGTTGTGGCTAATCGATCTATACAAAGCTGCATTCATTTCAGTGTAGTGAGACACTTTGACCTCAGAAGAACATTTTTCTTTGTTTCCTGGATCTATTTTATGAGTAAATTAATATTATGCATGTTTTGCAGAACTCCTAGCTTAATAAAGAGTCACCTGTTAAAGCAGAACAACAACAATGAAACCAGTCCTCAGGCCAGTCCTCGCTCTACTCCCAAACTCAGTCTGGACTCGACTACCACTGCGCTGGAGGCCGTGAAGAACGGCAGAGTGGAGGAACCGAAACCTGTCCAGGCACAGCCTTCAGCACAGCCCAGTCCAGGGCCCACACAGGTCCACATAAATACAAACAACAGGCACAAATAAGTGGCACCATTGTTAGGCAGTCAACAGGTTTATGACCACATGTGTTCT